GCCCCGGGGGCAGCCCCGCGCCGGGGGGCCGAGCCGCGTCCCGGCAGGGCTGGTCCCTGCACACCGTCCCTGCGGGCGCCCCAGCGGCGTGGGGGTGTCCCGGGGTGCCCGGGGGCAGGGCCAGCTCGGAAGCGCCTGCGGTGACGCAGCTGGCCGGGATAGCGGCAGCCGAGCCGGGCGGCGGGAGGCTGCGGGCRCTGCTGAGCCCCGAGGCGGGCGCTGAAGGGACCCGGCTGTCCCGGCTCCTGTGGGTGGCCGCTGCCCCTCGGGAGGAGAGGGGCCTGTCCGCGGTGCTGCAGGCAGAGCCTGAGCAGCGCCGGCCTTGCCTTCCCCCCGCAGTGACCCGAGGGGCCGCCATGGTGGACTACTACGAAGCGCTGGGGGTGAGCCGCGACGCCAGCGCCGACGACATCAAGAAGGCGTAAGTCAGCTCGGCGTCCCGCGCCGCTGCCCGCTCCCGTTCCCGCTGGGAAGAGCCGCCCGCGCCGGTGGTGCCGGCGGCCCCGGCTGTCCGCCGGGCCGGCCCGCGCTCCGCAGATGACAATCTGCCCTTTGTTGCTGGCTGCTCGCGCGGTCTCGTGCTGCGTGTTCAGAGGCCGGCGTGGGGACGGGCGCTCGGGCCCTTTATCCCTSTCTGTGCTCAGCAGAGGAGCTGGGGGACTGGGCAGAGGCCCAGCAGCCGCTTGGACACGGGTGGGGAGGGAGCCGGCCCTGCTGGCCGTGTTGGCACTGGAACGAGTCCCCTCGCTCCCMGGGACACGCGGGTGGCACAAGGAGGCTCTGCTGGCTGGAGAGGCAGTCCTGGTGGCCAGGGCAGAGAACTGTGTGMTGAGCGTGCAGGTTCTGTGCAGTGTCTGAGCAAACATCCTGGTGGAGATAGGGGATGGAGCAGGGGGCAGAGAGGTCCTGTCTGGAGCAGGGTGTCCCAATAACCTCGGCCTCAGCCATCCCCAGGCAGCTGTAAAGGGAGGAAAGGGCTGCCTTGTGCTCGCAGGCCCCRCAGTGCACACAGTCTCCTGGGGCAGGCGAGCACCAGACTCCCATGTCCACGCACACACACGCAGCAGGCTCTGGAGCAAACCTGGGAGCGCGGTCAGAGACCTGCTCCCGTGTGGGAGCCGCGACGGGCACGGCCGGCAACATGGGCTCATGCCACAAATATTTGCTCTGGAGGCAGAACCAGTTTAGGAAGTCCCTGCCTTGCCAGCAGCTGGGCCCTGACCCAAATCCCTGACCTGGCTAAAACAGGCGGAGAGGCAAAAGGCGGCTTGAAACTGTGTGACAGCGCCCAGGGGAGCCGGGGACATCGCGAGCCTGACCTGGGCAACAGGACGGGTGCTTGCCAGGCTGCTCTCTCGGCAGACCTGCTGGGTGCCTGGACGCGGCGCGAGCGGAGCCCAGCGTGGCCCCGGGGCCGCCTCTCAGCCCTGCCTGGGCTGCTGGGCCACCCGACCTGCTGCGCGGGGACGAAACAGGAGCCGGGCGGCTGTCGCAGTGCCCCGCTCTTCCCGCACGGATCGGGCTGATCCGAGCGGACGTGGGGCAGGRCGCCTGGCGGGAGGCCCGGGCCAGCGCAGAGCGTCACCGAGCGAACTCGTGGCCGCCTCGAGCAGCACCAGGCACAGGGGCTGCCCGGCTGCCTGGCGAGCGCCGCTTGCTCCGGTCCGGACGCTGCAGCGCGCTCCGACGCGAGGAATGTGACTGCGGGAGCGGGAAAGGCAGCGCGGCCACGCGCTGGGGCCTCCGCGCGAGATGGGGCCTGCAGCAAGGTCCGGGGCTGGTGTGGTGTGACCCTGCCGCCATTCTGTAGGGTGTTTGGGGTCAGCGAGCCTGTCTTTTCAGTTCTGGGATGATGCCTGGGTGCTTTGGCCGGCTCAGGGCTGGGGTTTTAAGAGCGACGCGGTCAATCAGAGRGGAACAGCACAAACGAACTGCTGGCTGGGGACGGCGCGAACCCCCGTGCTGGCTGGAACGGGCTCAGAGGAGCCCGCGGCTGCTGGGGCGCCTTGCAGCTCCCGGGTGCCGAGTGGGGAGCACTGGCTSCCCTGGGGTGTCTGCATCTCCTGGGGGCTGCTCTGGGCCCGCTGCTGACCGGCTGTCCCTCTGTCCCGGCTGTGCAGGTACAGGAAGGCAGCGCTGAAATGGCACCCAGATAAAAACCCTGACAACAAGGAGTACGCCGAGCAGAGGTTCAAGGAGATCGCCGAGGCCTACGAAGTGCTCTCGGACAGTAAGAGGCCGCGGTGCTGTCCTGTCCCGCTTGTCCGGTCCCCTCCTGAGTCTGACGCCCCGGGGCACCCGCTGCTGTGCTCATGTGGGTGGTGTCCCCGGACTGTAGGAGGCCTCCCGCGGCTGGGACGTCTCCGGCTTTCCTGCCCAGTATGTGGGGCTTGTCATCTCCCCACGGGCACTCCAAGAAGGCTCTTGAGGTTGGGGGGCCCTGGGGTGCCACGTGGCCTCCCAAGGCTGTGTCTTCCYGCTGGGGTGAGCTCGGCCTTGCCCAGGGCCCTCGTTGTGGGAGCGCAGGAATGTTCCTCGCTTGGGAATGGYGCAGGAGCAGCGGGTGCTGCTGCTGCCCCTCTGCTCCCGCTGCCCGCTGTTCCTCTCCGCCCCTGGCTGCCTCCTGCCCGTGTCCCTGGCCCAGGTGGCCCGYGTGGTGCCTGCCTCTCCGCAGCCTCCGTGTCCTCCTCTTGCAGAGCAGAAGCGGGATGTGTATGACCGCTACGGCAARGAGGGCCTCATGGGAGCAGGTGAGTGGCTCAGCGGGGCTGCAGGGCACTTGATGTGCCCCCAGGTGCAGCACAGTGTGAAGGGAACCCTGGGCTGGCTCTGTGGCCCTGGGCATGTGGAGCTCCCTCCCTTGCCCAGCAGCAACTCGGGTGCGCCTTAAGTCTGTGCTTCTTCCCTCCTGCAGGGCCAGGAGGGTCCAGGGCCGGTGCCGGAGCTCCCGAATTCACCTTCACCTTCCGCAGCGCTCACGATGTCTTCCGGGAGTTCTTCGGCGGGCGAGACCCGTTTGCCGACTTCTTCGGTGCGTGCGGAGCGCAGGGAGCGGGTTCAGGGGCGGGCGCTGCTCCCGGGGCTGCCGCCRTGCGGCTCCCTCGGCAGCCTCCTGCCCCGGGYCCACAGCGCCCGGCTGCCGCTCGGGTCACCGGGACGGTGCTGTCACCGTCCTCTCTGCCTTCCAGATGAGATGTTGCCCTTCTCTGACCTGCGAGGGCCTGCTGCCCGGCACCATGGAGCAGGCCACTTCTTTTCTCCCTTCCCAGGATCCTCAGGTAGGAAAGGTTGCYAGCCCTTGCCTGGCATGGGGGTCCCCGATGGCTGCATGCCAGAGCTGCCAAGCAGGCCCTGCTGCTGTGCCCTCACTGGGGCCCCTTGTACAGTTCAGACCTGGGTGGTCCTGTCCCCTCGCCCCTCATGCCCTCCCYTGGGCTTGGAGGGCTGCAGGAGCTGGGCACGGACCTTGCTGCCTCTTCTCCAGATTTCTTCTCCTCGTCCTTTGGCTCTGGAGCTGACGCAGGCCTGGGCTTCCGCTCCGTCTCCACCTCCACCACCTTCGTCAACGGCAAGCGTGTCACCACAAAGAGGTGAGGGGCAGCACGGTGTCCTGGCCAGAACTGGGGGGGGCAGTGCCAGGAGCCACCACAGAGGAGCAACAGGCCTGGGTCTTGCCCACCCCGTTCCTCTGGTCCCCATGCTGGGACCTACGCTGTCATCTAACCTACCCCCATCCCATGGTGGATAGTCAGTCCTGGGACCTTCCTCCTGGCTAGGCAGGGTGGGCAGGAGGGACCATGTAGGATGGGGCTGGCCCTGCCCCTGCATCAGCTGCCTATTCCTTGAGGGATTTCATGGGGTGCAGTTTGCCTTGATCAGCAGATGAGGTTACAAGGCCTGCTGGGCTGCAGCTCTGCTGGGCTGCCCTCGCTGTTGACTGCCTGTTTGTCTGCAGGATTATCGAGAACGGGCAGGAGCGGGTGGAAGTGGAGGAGGACGGGGAGCTGAAGTCGATCCACATCAATGGTGAGAAGTGCCACAGGCTGATGAGCGTCTCCAGGACAGGCTCTGCCGCCTCCCGGTGCACGTGTCCTTTGGGGACCCCAGGTCCTTCGGGGTGGCTGTGAGATGCTGCATCCCGCTTGATTCGGGGCTGAATCATGGGCCAGGTCCCTGGCTCTGCCTGGGGGGGTCACTGGGCTGGAGGTGTCACTAGGGCCCTGTGCGGACTCTGGGGAGGTGACATCTGTCCCAGCCTGAGGCGCTTGCCCTGGGGGCCTGCGCAGGGCAAGCGTGCTGAGCGGGGGGCGCAGGAGGTGCCGCCGCTCACGTCCCTGTCGCGGCAGGCGTCCCCGACGACATGGCGCTGGGGCTGGAGCTGAGCCGGCGCGAGCAGCAAGCCCTGCAGAGCCGGCGGCCGCCCCCGTCGCCCGCAGCGCCGCGCGCCCACAGCTCCTCGCCCGTCTGCCTCTACACGGACAGCGAGGACGAGGACGAGGACTTGCAGCTGGCCATGGCCTACAGCCTCTCGGAGATGGAGGCGGCGGGGCACCACCGAGCAGGTGCGCACGGCGCCGGCGCCCC